ATGATTAGTTCAACTTGATGTGGTTGATAGTTGTCTCTATTACAGTCAAACAACATTATAAGTCTGATAAGAAATTGTTTCAATACAAAATATTATGAATATTCATGCAGCATTTTTGGTATTCCTTGTTTTGAGGGAGTTTCATTTGTTATAAATAAGGTGTATCAGGTAGCAAGTAATTTTACCTCGTACAATTTCTCACTATCTCGTTCTCTATAAAAATATTACCAGCTCAATACATCATCTGTATTTAATGTTTGTTTTTTCAGTCAGTGTGTTTGATACTTTCTTAGTAGAAAGTAAATAATTACATGTACTTAGGAATTAGAGAGATATGTATTTTCCACAGCTTGTAGAGATGGTACGTTCGGGGGAAATTGTCTAAGAAAGTGTTCGGCAAATTGTATATCGGACCCTTGTAATCATGTAACAGGAGAATGCGAAAGATGTACTAACGGATGGAAAGGATTTAACTGCACAACAGGTTCGTTATAACATGTTTAACTGTGGATAAATACAACACGTTGGGGTTTGCATATCCCTTTGTTTCTTTCGCCTCTAGATCTTTTTGGGAAGAAAAATATTTTTATATTATAACATGACATTTCCTTAAATCTGATTACAATTATTTTTTAAGATCTACTTATCTTTATTTTAGTCTTTTGAAACGGAAACCAAAATAAAAACTAATCAAATAAGAACATTGTTACAAAATATCTATTTTAAGAGGGTTTTTTTTTTTTTTTTTTTTTTTTTTTCAATTTCTTTGTTTTAATATGAAGTATTTCTTCTAAACATTAACAGCCCAAGGACTACAAGTGGTTATCTTGATTCGTAATTAAGAGAGACTCAACAAGTTTGGTGGAAAGATTGCAGTTTTCAAACAAATAGTTTTAAGTCACGGTCAAAATTCAAATCAAGTTGTTTTCCCAATCTTTCGTTTCTAAATCATTAAGACGATGAGTTATTTTACTATATTGCTCAAAACATTTATAATGGAAGTTGGTATGTTGATAAAACGTATACATTTAACAGAAAGGATATTAAGTAGATGTTGGTACCAGTGTACTCGAGGAATTTATTTGCATAGAAACATCTGTAATTAATTTTACACAAAGCATTTCTGCTCTTGTGAACACAATGATTGATAACGTCCTTCAGATCAAGTACAAAAACAATTACGAGTTTTATTTGTTAGTCTTTGTAACGGCGACATTTTTTTCTCATAATGTTTCAATCTGATTAAGAATAAGAGTTATCATATCGATTGTGATAATATATATTTCTCTTCTCGAGACATTCTAAATCTCCTTCTCTAATTATGATCTAACTGTGTGTAGAAAAACTTTATTTTCTGCTATAAAATAGGCTCTTTAGATGTGATGTCATCAGATATGATCGCCCTTTGGCGTGACATCAAATTAAAGAAAAATATTCAACCTGTTGGGAAAATAATAAATCAGGGAAGAAAGAAAAAAATATTTAAACCATTGTCGTGACGTCAGCCTATTCATTTACCGTGGATTCTTTTTCTAGAATAAACGCTTTCTAAATCTGCGGCTGAAATGGATTCACCAAATTATATTCAATTTTTTCCTTTTTGTGTCTAGGGTGCCACATGTGGAGCAGGATCTGCTTACCCTTCCGGAGCACCTGAGATCACCCCCACTTTTTGGTGGGGTTCGTGTTGCTTAGTCTTTGGTTTTCTATTTTGTGTCATCTGTACTATTATTTGTCTGTTTGTCTTTTTTCATTTTTGGTCATGGCGTTGTCAGTTTGTTTTCGATCTATGAGTTTGACTGTCCCTCTGGTATCGTTCGTCCCTCTTTCATTAAGTTTGAATTAGCTAATTTACTGATTTCTGTTCACTAATGGAATTAATTTAAAAACTTGCCTTTAGTTTTTGTTATTTATATATGCCTTCACTGGGAATCGAACCCGTCCTTGAAATCTGTAATGTGTGACTGACATCAACATATCGACGAAACTTCTCGGCTACTAATTGGTTACAATTTAAATGTCTATTTTATATATATATAAATGAACATATGATATACATCGGTACAACGGACACACAGGGCTTGTACCTTTATATATACATAATAGGCAATCGTTTAGTATAAGTTGGTAGCCGCGAGGTTAGCATGGTTAAGATCAATGAGTTATAGAGTCAAGTTAAAGGTAGGGACTTGTCGGTTTAGGTTCGGATCCCTGTATTCTCTTTGTTGTCCCTATTCTTTAGTTTATCTGGTTTTTTTTTTTCTTATTTTGTATGTAACTGTGGATATTTTTGTGATAATAACGAGTTTTACCGTTTATTTTTGAATTATTATTGGCTATTTCACATATTTGAAACGAAAATGACTACATTCAATTTGTCCATTTTTGTTTTATAAATATAGTAAGATTTCATCTGTTTTACTGCATATAAAAATATTACTAGCTCAATACATCATCTGTATTTAATGTTTGTTTTTTCAGTCAGTGTGTTTGATACTTTCTTAGTAGAAAGTAAATAATTACATGTACTTAGGAATTAGAGAGATATGTATTTTCCACAGCTTGTAGAGATGGTACGTTCGGGGGAAATTGTCTAAGAAAGTGTTCGGCAAATTGTATATCGGACCCTTGTAATCATGTAACAGGAGAATGATAAAGATGTACCAACGGATGGAAAGGATTTAACCTCCGGGCTCATGGTTTCTTTTTCAAGAATCAACGCTTATTCATTGTATCTAAATTACAGAGTCTACCCCAACAGCAACCGTGAGAATATATGTCTCCATTCCAGATAGTTAATTTTGTATTTTTAAAACGCGAAGCTTGCCAATTTTTTTTACTTTTTAATTTGAACGTTAACTATCGACAGTGAAAACATATCGTATTACACGAGATTCGTTGGTGTAATTTGTTTCTCTGATAGTTTTTAGAAGATATGCAGATAAACTGCCAAACAATGTGTTTTTTCTATTAAACCTCATCAGAGATGGTGAGCTTTTCTTATCACTTGGCGTCCGTCGTCGTCGTCATTCGTCAAAACTTTTACAAAAATCTTCTCCTCTGAAACTACTGGGTCAAATTTAACCAAACTTGGCCACAATCATCATTGGGGTATCTAGTTTAAAAAAGTGTCCGATGACCACGCGTGCCAACCATGATGGCCGACATGGCATAAAATAGAACAACGTGGTAAAATGCAAGTTGTTCTGTCTATTATTTTGAAAACCGTTATAGATATAAATAAATATATATTATTATTATTTATAGTTATAAATAGAGAAAATGCGACCATAGCAAAAATGTTCCGAGTGTTGAGCTCTACCAATTGTTTATTAATGTCAAAACTGTCAGATGACATCTTATTTGAGTTATTGCCCTTAAATGACACAATTTACCATTTTGTTTCTTCTTTTTTGCCTATAATCTTGAAAACTATTATAGATAGAGAGAAATTTTACACTGAAAAAATTACCAGGAAAACAAGTTCTACAAACAAGTTTTGCGGTCGAAAACGTCAGTCAACTCCTTATTAGAGTTAATACCCTTTGATGACGATTTTTACCAATTCTGTGCGTTTTTGCCTCATACAATGTATCTTAAAAATCATAATTAGATAGATAGAAACTTTAATAAGCCAAAAAAAAATATTAGCGATACAAGATCTACAATTTAGACATATGGAGGGAATCGTCCGAAGACTCCTTATTGGAGTTATTGCCCTTTAATGACGAGAGAAACTAAAAAAATAATGATCAGCAATACAAGATCAACAAAACAGAGATTTTTTTAATGAATTCTATTCTCTTCTACAATGTTGGAGAGTGTCCTTTGTTGAATATGCACATAGACCAAGGTGAGCGACACAGGCTCTTTTGAGCCACTAGTTCAAATCATTGTAGAAAATCCAGTAGAAAGCAAAAAATGTGTCGTCATAAATGAATTTTTATCAATGCGGGAATAAGATCAAACGTTGGTGATAAAAAAAAATCAACTGGTCGGGAAAAGTATAAATTGGTTTAGAATTAGAGGAAAAAAATACAATGTTTATATACTGCATATGAAATTAAAAATTGTTGGAGCTGCAAATATGCAAATGTTTGATAAATACACTAACTAAGCAATGGACAGTCAACAAATAGAGTAGGGATTATACGGGAGTTTTGATAAAATCATTTCTAGCAAAAATGACATACAACCATCGGTCTATCTTTAACTGATTGCAAAAATCAATCAGCCCTGCATGTTTGTAGGAGCACTGTTTTGTGTTCTTGCATTGGCCAAACAGGCATGAGAGAAATTTTGGGCTAAAAAATCAAAACTTTAACAAATAAAAAAAAAGTTGCGACTTATTTATGCATAAGAGCGGGGAAAATAATTTCTTGAATTTCTTAAACACTAAAAAAAAAATTAACATGAGCACATTATTAGTTCTATCCAAACTAAGATAGCGCAAGGATCAAATTCCCTTATATGTTCGTTTTACTTATTATTGAAATTAAATGTAGTAAGCATATAAGAAAGAATAAGACTAAAAAAGTTATATTTGCTCCATATTTTAACTTTACTTTTGACTTTGGATTTCTGTTTCCTAATCAATAGGGTGTACAATATCAGTTGAGGTAACAATTAATTGATTAAAAGCATATACTTCAGAATTCATGTTCTTACTGAAGAAAAAAGGGAAGTATTTTTTGGAGCAACCTATTGCAAGGTGAAATCTCTGATCCTGTCTACAGTATGTCCTCTTTTTCCAGTTGCAGTCGAAAATCTTGTCCTTTAACTTAATCGACCCATTTCGTTAATTCGTCTCGGTCTAGCGAAATTACATAGAACACTGTTCCCCAGAAGAATTTCAAACAAAATTAGATCAATCTAACAAACCTACTTTTTGTATTTAAAAATACTGAAACTCTTTTGCGTCGACGTTTTTACCCTTAAACCATCCACTCATAATACTCATCGTTGTTTTCGATTTTGCGCCTAGAAGGAATTGATGTTTAATGCCCAGTGGCAAATTAAGATCATAATCAGGACGATAACATGTTAATGCAATATGAACATGAACCCGACGTTGTATAAGCCGACACGCTTGGCGGTATTTTGTTCGTGCTTGGTCAAAACATGATATGTCATGTCATGTCAGTCTAGCCGTACACAATAATCCGACTCCGAGCCTACCATTCTTTTCTCTAACTTTAAATGCTACGAGCTTATCGGAAAAGCAGCAAATGTCAATTTTAATCCTTGGTTTGACCGTCTGCAAATATTGTGCTACTGTAAGCGATGTTAGTATTGCTCATGATACGGAACTGTGCGTGTTTGGATATTACATTTGATAACAAAACGTATTGATAATTCACTTTTTCAGAATGCAGCAAAGGTAAATTTGGGTTGGATTGTTCTGAACCTTGTGATGGTTGTATTGAAAGTACATGTGATCGTTTTAATGGTGAATGTGTTGATAAAAGTGGATGTAAACCAGGTTATGAGTATGGACGATACTGTAATAAGAGTAAGTAATGATTGCTTATAATACTTCAATTCCCGTTTAACCAGCAAACTATATCCAAGAAATACAACTATACGAACGACTAGAACTAACAAAAATGTTATGATCATATATAGGTCTAACTATCATCATTTACCGTGACGTGTCGTTCAACTTCTACAAGAATTTAAAACAACTGCTTTTCGCATATATACATATGTTTGGTAAAGAAATAATCAATCCGTTATCGTAGATAAGATACTGTTTTAGATTAAATGAAAAACAATTCTATTTTTAGCTATCGTCGAGTTTGGAAATATCAAAGTATATACCAGAATTATAAGCCAATATTTTCGGTAATACAAGACATTACTACAACAAAGCACGAATATATATCCAATCGATAAAAAGAGTATTAAGAAATCTTCGTTAGGTCTACAAAACCAAAATTTTCTTTAAGTAAAATGTGTTAAAGAAAAATGAATGCTGACACAACAAATGTTCAATTATATATATATATATATATTTCCGAAAAAGATGATGTTATAAAATCGTAATTCAAATGATTAAAAATTGAAAACCGTTTGTGATAGACACAATCTTTTTAATTGAAAATGTTCTAAATGATAAAGCACATTAAATGAAATACAGGGTTACTCCCGAAGGGTCACCCCAATCCCCTGCCATTTAAGAAAGTTTTAATATCTTTGTAAGTGGTCAAGACCCCCACTCCTAAACCATATATATTCTGGTTTGTAATGCTAAGATGATTTGAATGATATACATGGTTAGTCCCCAGAAGTCATCCCGACCCCCTGCCATTTGAGAAAGTTCTAATATCTTGTAAATGGTAGAGATCCCTAACCCCTAAACCATATATATTCTAGTTTGTCATGATATAGCACTTCAAATGAAATACAGGGTTAGTCCCTAGGGGTCACCCCCGTCCCCTGCCATTTAAGAAAGTTCTAATATCTTATAAGTGGTCAAGATCCCGACCCTAAACCATATATATCCTGGTTTGTCATGCAAAGGTGGTTTGAATGATATACATGGTTAGTCCCCAGATGTCATCCCGACCCCCTGCCATTTGAGAAAGTTCTAATATCTTGTAAATGGTAGAGATACCCAACCCCTAAACCATATATATTCTAGTTTGTCATGATATAGCACTTCAAATGAAATACAGGGTTAGTCCCTAGGGGCCACCCCGTCCCCTGCCATTTAAGAAAGTTCTAATATCTTGTAAGTGGTCAAGATCCCGACCCTAAACCATAGCCCCAGAGGTCATCCCGACCCCCTGCCATTTGAGAATGTTCTAATAGCTTGTAAATGGTCGAGATCCCCACCCCTTGATCATATATATTCCTGTTGGTCATGTCTCGAACAGTTGAATGACATATAGGGTCCGTCCCTAGGGGTTCCCACACCCCCAATGTTCTAATATCTTGTAAATGGTCGAGATCCCCACCCCTAAACCATATATATATTCCCGTTCGTCATGTCTCGAACATTTGAATGACATAGAGGGTCAGTCCTCAGAGGTTCCCCTCACCCCCTATGTTCTAATATCTTGTAAATGGTCGAGATCCCCACCCCTAAACCATATATATTCTGGTTTGTAATGCCAAGATGATTTGAATGATATACAGGGTTAGTCCCCAGGCATCACTAATGGATATAACTTTACTGGACCAAACCAATTTTCACTGGACTATGCCCAATGTCAGGCGACCCTAGGAATTACGAATTATGGGAGCTTCGTACGGGAGACTTCGTAACAGCATCCTGTTACAATCATTTCTTGTTTAAATGCTTATTTTTATCGTTATCCGATGTTCTTTCTTCTTGTTAATCTATTTATTTATATTTTTTGAGGAGAAAATATGTTTTAATGTTTTTATTCCATACGCATTGTAGAAGATCACGAGTTTGTGCAGCGCTAAGGTTTAAGTTTCAACAGGATGTTGGACAAGTGGTCATTGCATATGTAGTTCAAGCATGCACATTCAGGACGAGATAAATATGAACCTGACTTTGTACTACACCGACAAGCTGATCCAATTTTTTTTAAAGTGTTAGTTCACAAGGTAACCATGGTAACAGTACACAGAAAGACAAGTCATCCTACCGGGAAATGTTATTATGACTCCGGTCCGAACATTTTGCACTAACTCCTAAATATCGCATGCTTAGCAGAAGGACTGCCAATCTTTGATTTGAACCAACCGAGGATCGAACCAAAGACCTCCCGTAGTCGAGGCGAGTACGTTATCATACGGCCATCGAGACGGTTATGAATATTGTAAATACACATACATGTACATGTATATTCAACCCATTTGAAACAAGAATATGTGATCATAAGACACCGTGCTCCCTCACATTATCAAATCTCTATTTTAAGTAAACCACTTAATCAGGGTAAAAACCTAGTTTGGTTTATAATATTAAATGTTTTAAATTTAAAACGGGACGCGTGAATGAACGGACGCACAAACTAGAAAGTAACATCCCTTTGATATCATGAGTTGGTCATGAAAATATAAATATTTTACTTCACACAATTGCAATGAAATATTCCAAAGATGTCCGTTTTTCAGACGTATTTGTATAAGCTGAACGCAAAACACTTCATAAACATATTTTGTGAGCAATTACATTAAGTTACGTATGCAAACTCCTCATAGAACTTATGCATCTTTATAATTAAGAAACAAGAAGTAAATATAATAACTGATTTAGTAAAGTGCAATCAATTGTTTTCTTGATAAATTCCATCTTATCAAATTTGACAGTAAGATGATCAAGTTCTATCAGATACAGATACATCAGTTATCTGAATTTCTCCCTCTGACAAAAGTATCTTGCAATAAATCATATAAATGATAGAACTTTACGAAAAAAGAAGTTAGTCGTGTACACTTTGATATTTCGGCATGTTTGAGGCCCCTGTTTCAAACTTATAACTTCTAATTAAAATATGAGAACATCATCTCGCTTCAGTTTTCATTTTTTTTTTTAATTCTTTTTAAGTTAATTTTGATTTAGTAGTTTTAAGAATTTATCCATTGAGAACTAAATATGTGATCCAAGTTAAATGACTGGTCGGTGCGTTTGATTAACCATAACTGAATTAGTTTTTTACTACATACGTTATTGAAGTGTATGTGTGCTTCATAAGTGAAAAACATAAAAACTAATAAGATAATAAGTTTCCAATAAAAATCCAGTCAAAAAAGCACGCTTATATTTTCCTTTTTAATGTTTTTATTCCTTATGCAATGTAAAAGATCACGAGTTTGCGCAGCTCTAAAATAAAACTTTAAACAGAATGTTTGACCATAAGTGGTCATTGCATATGTAGTTCAAGTATGCACATTCAGGACGAGATGAATATGAACCCGACTTTGTACTAGACCGACACGCTTATCCAATTTTTTTAAAGCACTAGTTCACAAGGTAACAGTGCACATGAAGACATGTCATTCTATCGGGACATATTATTCATGTTATTTTGACTCTGGACCGAACATTTTTTTGCACTTACTCTTAAATATAGCTTGCTTAGCAGAGGGCTGCCAATCTTTGATTTGATACAGCCGAGGATCGAACCAAAGAACCGAAGTCGAGGCGAGTACGTTATCATACGGCCATCGAGGCGGTTATGAATATTATAAATACACTTACATGTACATGTATATTCAAACCATTTGAAACAAGAATATGTGGTCATTAGACACTGTGCTCCCTCACATTATCACATCTATATGTTAAATAAACCACTTAATCAGGGTAAAACCCTAATATGCTTTATAACCTTTTTTTTTTTTTAATTTTAAACGGGACAGATGAATGAACAGACGTACAAACTAGGAAATAACGTCTCTTTGATATCATAAGTTTGTCATGAAAATAAAAATATTTTACTTAACACAATTGCAATCAAATATTCCATACATGTCCGTTTTTCACACGTATTTGTATAAGTTGAACGCAAAACATTTCTTAAGCACATTTTGTGAGCAATTACGTTAAATTACATTTGTACGTATGCAAACTCTTCATAGAACCCATGCGTTTTTTATAATTAAGAAAAAAGAAGTAAATATAATTACTGATTTAGTAAAGTGTCATCAATTGTTTTCTTGAAGATATATCCTAGCAAATTATATCTTATAAAATTATACAGAAAGATGATAAAGTTCCATCAGATACAGATACATCAGTTATCTGAATTTCTCCCTCTGACAAAAGTATCTTGAAATAAATGATATAAGTATACGAAAAAAGAAGTAAGTCGTGTACACTTTTGATATTCCGGCGTGTTTGAAACCCCTGTGACAACCTTATAACTTATAAATAAAATATGAGAACATCATCTCGCTTTTGATTTAATTATTTTATTCTTTTAAGCTAAATTTTGATTTTAGAACTTTTAAGAATTTATCCTTTGAGAACTAAATATATGGGTCAAGTTAAATGACCAAGTAATGGTCGGTGCGTTTGATGACCTGTAACTGGATTAATTATTCCCTTAAAAGGTTGTTGCTTATAAAATCATCCAGAATCTAACAAAATATGTAAAGATTTGAAATAGAAAATTGTGTTGCTTTTTGAAAAACAATTATTCCTACAAAATATGTGTATTCAACGAGCAAAAATGTCAATGAGTCTATGATCCCCTCCGTCATTGTAGGTTGGTTATGTCGAGTTTCGTCATTTTATAGGAAATCTCTAAAACAACGTGATATAACATAAAAAGGACTGAACTATGCGGATTATGAAACTGCATGATCTACTCCACCATTTTCTACATAAGGAAATGCCTGTACCAATTCAGGAATATGACAGTTGTTTTCCATTCGTTGGATGTGTTTGAAAGTTTGATTTTGTCATTTTAGAAAGGACTTTCCGTTTTGAATTACCCTTGGAGTTCGGTATTTTTGTTATTTTACTTTTTTCTGTTCTGTGTCAAACTTGCACAACATGCACAAGGGACGTACATTTAAGAAGCGACGACAAAAGTTTTGAAAAAAAACTAAAAAAATAAATACAAACTAGAAAAAAAACCAAGAAAAAAAAAACCCTAAAAAAACCAGTGTTGATCTCTATTTTGTTCCCGCTCAAAATGTTGCTTTACATTTTAAATGAAAAATTAACTGCAATTTTGTCACAATGTAGGCACTTATGTATACATATTGTTATTTTGATGATTGTGTGGATTGGCACTTTGGATCCAATTGCACAAAACATTTTTTACTGTTTGAACAACCCGAATGAAAATTCTTCTGGCAATTGCTTTAATGGCAGCTGCAAAGGGCTGGTGTTGTATCACTGTGTCCAAACTACCCCTGCAAAAAGTGTTTGGACCCGATGGTATCTAATATCCGGCACGGTGACGGAACATCAATAGACAGACAAAAGGTAGTTTTCTGTTTATTTATTTGTTATTTTTATGATATCGAAGAATATATATACATATATAACTATTTTCTATTGTGAGATGTAATAATTTCTACAACCGTTCTAGATTAACAGAGAAATAAGTACAAATGCACGACAAAATGACGAATTGAGTGAACCTTGCCTCGAATTTGTTTAATTTCTCGTTAAATTGTTCACATGGTACGGAAAGAAAGGTACGGAAAGAAAGATATTGAGATGGAGATTGCAAAACTAGTCACTTTGAGCACCTCAATACTTGTATTTCTGTGTATGGAACGAAAGAAACGGGTCATGTCAAAATGGAAGCACCCGGTTTTGTCAATGTGTACAACCCGGTTTTGTCCTTGATTTCACAAGGCAGAACCCGGTTTTGTCAAAGAAAAAAAATGCATAATTGCATAACATGTTTGAACCTCAGCGTTTAAAAGGAGTTTTGTGGCTGGTTGGAAAACGATTTCTCACAGAGGACAACTAATTATTGATTTGAATCTTCAAACACTTGAATTCCTACTTTATTGGAACAAAAATAATTATAATTATTATTTTGCTTTGCATTTAAAAAAAATACTCTTACTGCAAAATAGATAGAAATGAAGGTTAAACCACAAATTGAGGTTTAAGCTCTCTATATGTTTTTTTTTTATATGAATTATGTAAATTTGAGTGTTTAAACTTTAAATTAGAGTTCATGGTTTTAAAAATTAAAGGACGCACATTTGATATGTGATTTTCTTGCACAACAGGATGGTTATCTTTATAAGTAATCTAGGGGTGTAATCTTTCCTATGATCGTTTAAAATAAATCTTCTTAGGGCTAAATGTTCATTATAAGGCATGATAATCAGACAAATGTATATATGCATGCAGAATCGCCATAGAAAATGAATGTTTATGGTGTGAAAAGGATTACAATAATCATGTATAAAAAATCAAATCTATTTATCCCCAATTGTAACTATAATACTAAGTATAAATTAGAATAATAGTTTCAGGCCATCGAGAAAATGCAATAATGATTATTTTATTAATAAAGAAGCAATTCTGTTATCTCTCCATTGTGTTATGATTATCGTACATTGACAATGTATAGGATCGGATTCAGTTTTTTTCAAAATAGGCGTAATTCAAACGGCTTACATACCACAGAGCGTAGCGAAGCGAACAATGTTTTGGACGAATTTATGCTAAAATAAATCGTAAAGAAACAGATTTAATATTTTTTGGTCCATCAAAGGTGGGGGTGGGGGCGTACGACCTATACGCCGCCTGGATTTGCCACTGATGTTATATAACTAAATCGTAAACCAACTTAAAATTTTATAAGAACTAAGAAACCAGGGACACCCGCGAAATTGGATGTATGTGAGTAGGATTATTATGTTTATTCGAAAAATTCACATTGATATTTTTGAATTGTCGGAATGCGAGACCAAGGGATGCAAATTCGTGGCGGCTTGAACTATTTGTATGAGGCTTTATATGTCAGAAGTTTATATGTTGACTGCAACAAACCTCGTACACAGATCTTTTATGTAACGATGTTTCTATCTGTCATATATATGTCCATTGCCCTTGACATCATTTTCATGGTCCATCGATTTCCTTACAAAATGAATAGCTGATAAAGGCTGATATCTATGATCAAGGTTAACATTTCGTGTTCATGTCCGCATCTCTAATATCATAAGTAATAGGTCAACTATATTTGCTTGTATGGCGCAAATGACTATTTATGTGACCTTGAACTTATTTTCTTGATTTATTGGTAAATGTTAAGTTTTATATTTTTTGTTGGTTTGTTTTAATGATTGTAATGTGTTCATGTCCGTCTGGCAGGTTTTATCAGACCTTGACTTTTTTTTATGGTTCCATGAACCATGTTAATTTTATGTGATACTATTATTTAATTATTTATCTTACAGACCTTCAAAATAAATTTAATAACGATCATTCCAGCAGTCGCGACATGTCAGTGCGTACAGTCACTCTTGTATAAATAATACGTAGTATTCATTTTTGTTAAAAAAAAACGCAATTGAAGTTATTTTGCCATGTATAATTAGTTTATCTCGTTCGTGTAAGCCTTAATTATGAATTGTTAGACATTTTTTTCATTCAAGAACGGTGCAATCTTGTTTGGAATTCTTGGTTGGTTTTAGCTTACCTGACCCCAAGGGAAATATGAGTTTTTTTTCATCACTTGGCCCCTGTCGGTCGTCGTCTTCCGTTAATTTTTTACATAATTTCTCCTCTGAAATTACTGGGCTACAATACATTTAACAAACCTTATCCACAACCTTATGTAGGTTTTAAAAGGTCTAACGAAATTATGTTTAACTGTTTTTCATCATCGTTGGGGTATCTAGTTTAAAAAGTTTTTGATGACCCCGCTTGTCAACAAAGATGGCCGACATGGCTTAAAATAGAACATAGGGGGATGCAAGTTTTGTTAAACAGCTATAGATAGAGAAAATTTAACAGGAACAGATATGTTCACATTGTTGAGCTCTACCTTTTGTCCATATACATCAAAACTCTCACACGAACTCTTACAGAAGTTAATGTCCTCGAATGACAATTTTTTTTCTTTTTTCCATTTCTGTCTATTATCTTGAAATATATAAAAGTTATATCCATAGCAAAAATGATCAGCAAGACAATATATAAGAATACGTCGACTTGGCCGATATCCTTGTAAGCATTATTCACCTTTAATTACGATTTTTACCATTTCTTTGCGTTTTTGCCAATTATCTTACAAAAATCTTCTCCTCTTTAACAATGTAATTAAACTTAGCCAAAGTCTTTATTGAGGTATCTGGTTTGAAAACCCACATGATCAGCCATTTATAAATTTGTTTTTTTTTGTTTCAGAATACCGGTGTTAACGTTGCTTTTCATAAAATAAACAAAACCGGGTTCTATACATAGACAAAACCGGGTCATTGTGTAATAAACAACATTGACAAAACCGGGCGCTTCTATTTTGACATGACCCATTTCTTTCGTTCCATACGCAGAAATACAAGTATTTAGGTGCTCAAAGTGACTAGTTTTGCAATCTCCATGTCAATATCTTTCTTTCCGTACCATGTGAACAATTTTACGAGAAATTAAACAAATTCGAGGCAAGGTTCATATAATTTGTCATTTTGACGTGCATTTTTACTTATTTCTCCGTTAACCTAGAACGGTTGTAGAAATTATTACATCTCACAATAGAAAATAGTTATATATGTATATATATTCTTCGATATCATAAAAACAACAAATAAATAAACAGAAAACTACCTTTTCTCTGTCTATTGATGTGCCGTCACCGTGCCGGATATTAGATACCATCGAGTCCAAACATTTTTGCCAGGGTAATTTAGACATAGAGAGTATATAGTGTGATGAAAGTAAGAATTATATCATTATCATTTATACACAAAGAAAAAGTTGTATTCGTTTATCTCCTGTAATAATTTAATACTTTTGTCCTTGAGAGCCAATTACCAATATATAAACTGCTTTACTTCATATTAAGATCGGGATGCAAATATTAGAGTTCGAATGGTAAATTAAGGCGGTATTATAATTTAATTATCTTATGTCATGATTATTGTACTCAGCAGACCGTCCACAAATATTGTGCTACTGAAGGTGTTGTGAGTATTGTTGATGATTCGAAACTCTGATTGTTTGAATATTATATCTGATAACAAAACGTATTAATGATTAACTGTTTCAGCTTGCATCACAGGAAAATATGGGTTGGATTGTTCTGAATCTTGTGATGGTTGTATTGAAAGTAAATGTGATCGTTTGAATGGTGATTGTTTTTATAGTTATGGATGTAAACCAGGCTATGAGTATGGACGATACTGTAATAGGAGTAAGTAATACTTGCTTATAAAACTTCCATTCTGTTAAACCAGCAAACTATATCCAAGTAATACAACTTTATATGAACGACTAGACCTAATAAAAATGTAATGGTCATTTGTACATGATGTAGGTCTAACTATCATCATTTACCGTGTCGTTCAACGTCTAAAAGAACTTAAAACAACCGCTTCTTACATATATACATATTTTTGGTAAGTTATAGATAATGCATTTTTTAAGGTTTTTCTTGTCGTAGAACACACCAAGGGGTGTCAGGATTGATCAAATGAAAGACCGACCGTAGGGAGGACTTTCTTTGGGCAATCCTGACACCCCGAGGTGTGTTCTACGACAAGAAAAAGCAAAAAATATGCATTATCTGAATTGAATACCGTAAAAAAAATATTGTTTTTATAAAGATTTGTAAAATTTAGCATCCTATTTTACCGACCACACTAAAGTGGGATATTCCTTTTTAAAGCGTTCAGGTTTTAATACGCCATCCGGCTCATTTAGAAAGTGAAATAAAACTCACTAATTAATCTGGATATAAACCTTAGAAATTATTATCCATTCACAATAAAAATATTACTGTAACTGCATGAAGTAAGACACAAATGAATTGTTACCATCTGATAAAGGTGTATGAAAAAAACAAGATACTTTGTAAGCAATTTATTGTACCAACTTAGTTTATGGGAAGGGGGAGGTGATTTGTTTTTTTTTTGTCTATTTGTAATAACATTTTATCGCAGAAAAGTAATTATTTTTTCAACAATTTTAATTGAATCGAATGAAATATTCAGAATGATTTTCTTTTGAATAGCAATACATTTTTTAACAGATAATCAGGATATAATTATTACCCTTCCCCAACCCGACATCATTGTGAGGTACATGAATGTTATTCAATAGAATATAAGAATATTTTATTAGTTAATCATTTGATAGAGTAAAAGGTATACATAAATGTAAAAAAGTTAAGAACTGACACGAAGGGGGTACGAAATCGTGATACATGTACATGTTACACAAAAACGAAAATCAATACATGTAGGTCACAGTATGATTTCCTATTCAGTGTGTATCGTCCTGAACATGCATGAAATATTTGCCACTAGACGTTAAGTAACCATCAATCAATCAACCTATTCAGTGTGAATCAATAAGATTTTCAAAATCTTACACACGAATATGTTAAATCTGGCTTTATTTTAAAGTGTTATGAAAGTTTAACATTAGAATTCATCTCGCATATATGATAATGTCTCTGTATTGTAGCGATAAATTAACAAAACTTCACATTATTGTTTCTAAAATTAAAATTCGGGCAATGACGATTTTTTTTAAACCTATCATAGATTGAACTTTAAAAAATAAATTCCCAAATCGGCAACAAAAACTATCAGACGAATATAATTTTGAAGTAAATCACACAGATCATTATTTTATGCCTTGGAGAATATTTCATTGAAACATGGTATCGTCCGGGTTGATTCTTCGAAAGAATGACCTATCGTTCTGAAAGAAAATAACTCCATATAAGTATATAAAGAAATAATAAATCCCTTATCGTAGATAAGATACTCTTTTAGATTGAATGAAAAATAGTTCTATTATCAGCTATCATCAAGTTTGAAAATATCAAAGTATGCACCAGAATTATAAGTCAATGTTTTCTGTAGTACCATGCATTACTACAACAAAGCACGATAATATATGCTATCGATAAAAAGAGTATTAAGAAACTACAAAACCAAAATATTCTTTAACAAGTTTAAGTAAAAAGTCTTAAAGAAAAATGAATCCTGACGCAACAAAAGGTCAATGATATATGTATCATACCAAGAAGATGGTGCAATAAAATCGTATTGACAAATTTTCGGCTCAACAAATGGCGATCTTCAAATGTAATAGAATACTAGTTGTTTATGTTAACTTCTTTGTATATTACCATCTTCTATCACTCTCGTTGCGGAAATCTTGAGACTATATAATGTTGTCCGTATTTGCACAATATCGCCTATTCTAGACGGTTCGATACAAATTTTGCTTGTAAAACGAAACAAGTATTATAACACAACAATGTAATACTTCAGGTAATTAAGAATTTCATTTTGACAATTTCTATAATTGCAGCTCTGTAAAGTTTGTAAAGGAACACACAAAAAACATAGTTCCATAATACAGCGTAATGACACATAAAAAGAGACTTAACTATGCGGAAAAAGGAAACAGCATGATCTTCTCTGTTAAACTTGAAATTCCTGATTATATATCATCAGGACTCTTTCAAACTTGCACACGAGACATATATTCAAGCAGGCAACAACGACAAAACGTTTGGAACAAAACCTTAAGAAATAAAAACTAGAACAAAAACGAAGAAAAACAAACATGACTGATCTATATGTTGCTCTTACTCAAAATGTTGCTTTACGTTTAAAATAAAGAATGTACTACGATTTTGTCACAATGTACACACATATATATGCATATTGTTGTTTTGAAGCTTGTGTGGATTGGCACTTTGAAGCCAATTGCAAAACAATGTGTCACTGTTTGAACAACCCGTGTAAACATTTCAGTGGTAATTGCTTTGATGGCGGCTTCAAAAAGGGCTGGCATGGTAAATCGTGTGATGATCTACGAATATTGTGTTACTATAGGTGTTGTTAGTATTGTTCATGATACGAAACTCTCCGTGTTTGAATATTATATCTGATAACAAAATGTATTAATATTTAGCTACTCCAAAGTGCGACAAAGGCAAATTTGGGTTGTATTGTTCTAAATCTTGTGATGGCTGTATTGAAAGTATATGTAATCGTTGTGATGGTGTATGTATTGATAGTAGTGGATGTAAACCAGGGTATGAATATGGACCGTACTGTAATAAGAGTAAGTAATGCTTGCTTATAAGGCTTCCATTTCCGTTAAACCAACAAACTATATCAAGGATTACAACTTTATACGAACGACTAGACCGAACAAAAATGTTATGGTCATATAGAGGTCTAAATTTCATCATTCACCGTGTCAGTCAACTTCTAAAAAAAATTGAAACAACAGCTCTTTACATATATACAAATGTTTTGTAAAGAAATAATAAATCCCTCATCGATGATAAGATGCTGTTTTAGATTAAACAAAAAATAATTATATTTTCAGCTCTAGTCGGAAATATCAGAGTATGCACCAGAATTATAAGTCAGTGTTTTCTGTAGTACAAGACATTATTCCAACAAAGCAGGATTATATATGCAATCGATGAAAAGAGTATAAAGAAATATTCGTCTATATAGGTTTACAACACCAAAATATTCTTTAAGTAATATGTGTTACACCGAAAAATGAATGCTGGCGCAACAAATGTTCAATTGTATATACATACGAAGAAGATGAGATAATGAAATCGTATTGACAAATTTTCGGCTCAACAAATGGCCTTCTTTTGTGTCTATTTATCAAATGAAAAACAATACTAGGTGTTTATGTTAACTTTTTCGTATATTACCATCTTCTATAACTTTCGTTGCGCATATCTCAGGGTTTTTATAATGTTGTCCTTATCTGTATAATATCGCTTATTTTAGACTGTCTGATACAAATTTTTCTCGAAAAACCAAACAAGTGTTATAACACACCAATGTTATACTTCGGGTAATTAAGAATTTTATTTTGACAATTTTTTCAATTTCTGCTCTTCAAAATTTTATAATGAACACATTTGTCAAGTAACAATAAAAAATAAACATAGTTTCATAATACAACGTAATGTGGAACATAAAAAGAGACTGAACTATGTGGAATATGAAACTTCATGATCTAGTCTGTAAAGAATGAAACCCCTGATAATCTATTATCAGGACTATTTCAAACTTGCATACGGGACATACATTTCAGTAGTCAACAACGACTAAACCTTTTTGAAAAAAATTTAAAAAAAATTTAAACTTTGACAAACTAGAACAAAAAAAAACCCTAAAAAAACCAGTGCTGATCTTTATTTTGCTCCCACTCAAAATGTTGCTTTACTTTTAAAATGAAGAATATACTGCGATCTTCTCACGATGTACGCACATATATATGCATATTGTTGTTTTGAAGCTTGTATGAATTGGCACTTTGGAACCAATTGCACAAAAATTTGTTACTGTTTGAACAACCCGTGTGAAAAAAACAGTGGTATTTGCTCTGATGGCGGCTGCAAAAAGGGCTGGCATGGTCAATCGTGTGATGAAGGTAAGAATTATATCACTATGATCATATATGCACAAAGAAATTGTTGTTTTCTTTTATATCCTGCAATATTTTAATACGTTTATTCTGAAAAGTCGTATACTAATATCAACTGCTTTTATTTATAATAAGATCGTGATGCATATATTAGAGTTCGAATGGTAAATTCAGCCGGTGGTGTTATGAATGATCTAATTAATTAATGTCATGATTATTGTACTTTACAGTCCGTTTGCAAGTATTGTGCTTCATAAGGTGTTGCTAGTATTGTTCGTGATACGAAACTCAGCGTGTTTAAATATTCTATCTGAAAACAAAATATATTGATAATTAACTTTTTCAGAGTGTAGCAAAGGAACATTTGGGTTGGATTGTTCTGAATCTTGTGATGGTTGTATTGAAAGTGCATGTGATCGTTTTAATGGTGAATGTGTTGATAGTAGTGGATGTAAACCAGGCTATGAGCATGGACCGTACTGTAATAAAAGTGAGTAATGCTTGCTTATGATAATTCCATTACCGTTAAACAAGCAACCTTATATCCAAGTTATACAACTGTATACGAAAGAGGAGACCTAACACAAATGTTGTGGTCATATGTAGGTATAATTTTTATCATTAACATTGTCGTTCCACTTCTAAAAGAACTTAAAACAACTGCTCCTTACACACATACATATGTTTGATAAAGAAATAATAAATCCCTGATCGTAGATAAGATACTCTTTTAGATCAAATGAAAATAATTCTATTTTCAGCTATCGTTGAATTTGGAAATATCAAAGTTAACACCAGAATTTAACTCAATGTTTTCTGTAGTAGAAGACATTACTCCAACAAACCATGATTATATACAATCAATAAATATTATTAAGAAATCTTCGTTAGGTCTATAAAGCAAAATATTCTTTTAGTAAAATGTTTTAAAGAAAAATTAATGCTAACGCAACAAATGTTAACGGATATATATATATGTATGTATATACGAAGATAGTGATGTTATAAAATCGTATTGACAAATTTTCGCTCAATAAATGCCAATCTTCAGTGTCAATTTTTTATCAAATCTAATTTAATACTAGGTATTTATTGTTTAAATATACATTTTAAAAGATCATTTTGATCTGAACAGTTCTCAAAAACTGAACAGTATCAACTTCATTGAATTTTTGGTGGGTAGTTGTCTCATTGGCAATCATACCAAGTCTCTTAATTTAATATAAATTAACCATGTTAATTATCAAGCCATTTGTTTGGTTTTTTTTTTTTCATTCAATTTTCAGACATTTTTCTACTGCAGAAAATCAGTACTGTTCCGACAATTGGCTTGCAATTAAAATCTGCAAGTCTATGTTTAGACTTTTCAATAGTTGTTATTTATCTGTACAGATTAACAACGGACTGAATTGACTACAAGCAAGTTGTCTTACAGTCCTTGGATGGTGTAAACTTCCCACTAACACCATACACCATTACACCATTCAGCATACACCATTACACCATACACCCTGTGCCATTACACCATATACGTTACACCTTTGCACCATACACCTTACACATTACACCATAATGCAGTTTAATTTCAAAGAAAGCGTGCAACTACAAAATTATTTATTTATTTTAGAAAACAAATTTTGATCACAATATTGTAAATTAATGTACAAAATTAACAATCAGTTCAATATTTTGCATAGTTTTAAATGTCGTACACCATTCATTCACACCATACCCGATCGCACGTTACACCATTACACCATTCCCCTTACACCATACACCATAGCATCATACACCTTCTACCATTGCACCATATGCCATACACCATTACACCATACACGTTTTTTTTTTGGAAGTTTACACCATCCAAGGGCTGTAACCGTACGGAATTCACTAATGTCAATAAATCTGAAAATTGACTGAAAGACTGAACATGACTAAATTATTTATTGTTCAGACATTTGAGATGATGTAATGATCAAAATGACCGTTCCTGACTACCATGTGTTTACTAGTGTCAGGCTGTTTGTTTTCTTGTTTGAGTTGTGTATTTTCCACAGTTTGTAGAGATGGTTCTTTCGGTGGAAATTGTCTAAGAAACTGTTCAACAAATTGTGTTTTGTACCCTTGTAATCACTTAATAGGAGAATGTGAAGGGTGTAACAACGGGTAGAAAGTATTCAACTGCACAACAGGCTTGTTTTAATGTGTTTAATTGTTGATGAATACAACACGTATACAAACGTTTTTTCTTCGACTTATCCCTTGGTTACTTTTGCCTCTCTTTGTGAAGCGAAATATTCATAGATAAGTACATGCTATTTCCCTAAATCTGATAACAATGCCTTTGTTATGATCTAGTTAGAAGTTTTTCATGTTTTTGTAATATTTTTTTCCTATGCTTTACACTTTGATTTGTAGATACTCAGATGTCTCTCCCTGCTAGTTCTGGTACGGCCATCAGAGGAGGCATAAGTGCTGCCATTATGATCATTATTATAAAGATCTTCGAAGTAAATTATGTTATATGATATATAAATTTATAAGTAGAACTCTATGCACAAAACTTTTGCTGAAATGATGCATTCATATGGTTGCAGGGTTATTCATTGTAAAGACAATAAAACGTCAAAAGTTATGTCAAATTTGCAGATTGAATGTGTCGATTTCAAAGTAGATAACTAATAAAATATCTATCAATTTACAAGGATTTCCATATATGAAAATATGAAGATTTAGTATAATTGTCAATGAGACAACTCTCCACCAGAGACCATTCAACAATGAGCAAAAACCATACCACATATGAAGCGATGAAAGGCTCCATAATGACAAATTTAAGACAACTCAAACGAGACAATTTAAGGCCTAATCTGCATGATCTATGAACAAAACAATTTGTGAAAATATGATATTCAGCAACAAAGTACTTCATGTACCACTAAGTTACAGACTCATGATTTGCAACAGGCATATACACAATGTAGCGGGATTAAACATGCTTGTTTGCACCAAACTCTCACCTTACCAAGTACAGAGATGTTACAGCACAGCATAAGAAAAAACTTTAACAAGAGGCTCATGAGAGCCTTATATCGCTCACCTGGATGTAATTTCAGTTTCAGGCATTTGACTTATTTGTAGATCTTACTTTGCTGAACAATTTGGTCATTTACACTTTCTCTCTTTGTATAATAATTGTTTAATAATATTAAAGATATTACATAACCCAAACTGTAAACTTTCCTAAAAAATAACTATTTCTAGACAGTATACCAACAATAAGTTGTCCTATTGGTCTGAAAATTACTTGACAGGTAGATCTAAACCTGTTTAACACTTTCACCTATGTCAGTTTTGCTGTAGCTGCTTTAGTTTTTGAGATGAAAGCCAAACACTGCATTTGACCCTAGCTGCGAAAACGTAGCTCTTAAGGTCCTTTTGATGATTTTGATATTTGCGGACCGTAGAGCTACGATTTACTCCCATTGAAAAACCCACGAAATAGCGCTCTCAAACAGGTGCGCTACGTTTCATTCGTTTTCCTTCTTTTTGAGGGCATGGGACAATGTATATCAATCGAAAGCTGACACATTTTTCTTTAACCTTCCATAGTTATTTACCTTCGGAAACCTCATTTAACGCCCACATTCATCAAAATATTTCTTTCCAGCTAAGCTCCGCCTTTTCGTCGACCATTTTTGAATCAAACGAGATCGCTAGATTTGTACCACGTGATTTCAGGGGGACGTAACTCCACTTACAAAACACGTGTACGGTTTGTTTACGTTTTTTGCCGGTAAAGTCGCTAATTCGTTGGTATTTAAATTCGTTATTCGACTTGATTTTTTATGTTTGCACATTAAATTTTGAGAAAATAAACTTATAATATTGAAGTACATTTGTTGAATTCACATTTTATTGACAAAAGTTGAAAAATATGATACTTGTAAAAAACACATTCTCAGGATTTTTCTTAGCCAAAATCAATGGATGTAGAAAAGATATATGAGGAGAAAATAAGGGGAAAATATAAATTTCCTTTCCCCTTAAAAGAAAAACAAACTCAAATCATTGAGAATGTGTTGAGAGGGAACCATTCTGTTGGTATTTTACCAACAGGATATGGGAAAAGTATTTGTTTCCAAATATTGAAATATTGCCAATATTACATGAAGAACTTAATAGCTTTGGTTTTTTCACCTTTAAAAAGTTTAATGTACGATCAATGTGCAGCAACTACATCACAGGGCATTTCGAGCGTCTGCATTGTGCAAAGAACAGACATGTTTGATGATACAATAGAAGGTAAATATAATACCAGAAAAGGAAGTAAAAATAATTCCAGAAAGGGGGGGGGGGGCTCAATTTAATAAAAGCTAATTAATTTTAAAAGAGCTGAATAGAACATTGCCAAGTAATTTCAATAAATCATATAAATAGGTCTATATTCTAACCATTTTACAGTGATGACATCTTGGTAATTTTAATAATGAAAAAGAGTGGACCCCCTCCATAAGGTTCAACATTGGTTCATACATGAATGTGTTCTGTGCATATATAAACAATTATACAGGGTCTGCCCCTTCTTGATCCACCTAAAAATTAAAAATGTTGTGAATTTTGGGGGATTTGGGAAAGAAATGGTTAAAAAAATGAGGAGTTAAAAAAAATAGAAATGTCAGAAAAGTTGTTTCAGGGAATTTGAAAAATTATTTTTAGAGCATATGCTGTACTCGAGGATGAAGGGGGTTACAACGCCAACATTGAAGTAACGAAAAGTAACTATCAACTTTTAAACAATATATTTTCAATGTATTGTATGAGTTTTTGCTACACTCACAGTCACTCCATAACATTTTTTTAATGTCATTATGTAAATTTAAATGGTCTCGTGTTATTCCAGGCATAAAAAATGGATTGTATTCCCTAGTTTATCTGTCTCCAGACATTCTGCTTAAATTCAAGTACTGGCATGAGATATTAGTTGAGTCAGCTGTATATCAGGAACAGATTTGTGCCATTGTTATTGATGAAGTGTATCTCCTTAAAACTTGGATATCACAAACACTAATACATGAGATTAAAGTAATTATAAATGCATATCACGTGGCCATCTTGGTTTATATGTATAACCTGTCTTACATAGTGGTGATACCCTCCCAAAATTGCAGTTGAGTGTCCTTGTGTCTGGACCCTGGTGGTTTCCAGACGATTACTTGGTAATAGATTAATGATTTGTTGGCAAGATGAAGAAAATTAAGAAATAAAATCACATACATAAAATTTCATATCCTTTTTATTTTAACTAGTGCCATATTAAATCAAAAAGCACAATCGAGCACAATCAAACTATAAAACAAGCAATTTCTGCATGTATACAAAGGCGTGATTGACAAATATTGACTATTTTTCAACATATATAAGAATATCTTATTGAAGGGAAAAAAGATATTGCTTTCCATAAATTGACTGAAATTGTTAACAATCATTCTTGTCAAACATTGTATAAATGATTACAAAATCTTATTAGGCCACAACAAAATATATGTGAGTTTCAGGTTTATACATTGCTAAACAAAAAGGGTGGGTATGTACATGAATGTAAAATCATTTCATTTTTTAAAATCATTTTGTTTAGGCTACATGGACTTCAAAGGGGCATATTTCTTGACTTTAAATGAGCTTAACCAAAATCTTGATATTAAGCGATGTTTTGCACAAAATTGTCCATTAAATTGAGCTAGGGTAGGCATAAAAACTAGGGAAGTAAGGTCACCTGAAACAGACATATGTTTTTGCCTTATAAGTTTTAGAAATTATTGGTTATTGTAGGGGCGAGAAATTCAGGACAACATTCCAGAAGCTTGGGGAGCTAAGGAGCCATTTCACAAATGTTCCTTTCCTTCTTTTAACTGCCACCTGTACTGATAGCATGTTACAATCTATAATAAGAAAACTGTATATTCAAGATCCCATCATTGAATCCCTATGTCCTGACATGTTTGTTTAATCTCTATAGTATAAAAAGGCAAATAATGGGGACATGCAATAAACCCAAAAATATTTAACCACTGGAACAGTAACATCAAAGTGCAACAATGAACGGCACTGGTAAAATTAAGTGTCAATCTACTTTGTTTCATACTTTTTTGTCAAAAAACATAAATTTTACCATATTAAGTACCACACTTTAAACAACTGTGATGTGTCAAACTCTTGAAAAGTTTGTAATCTATTAACAAAATTAATATAATCATTTTTAATTATCAAAATCCATTATCGAATATTTAAGAGTGTTAAAAAATTGGGGTCAATAATGGCCTTTCTCCTTTCTTCTGCTTTTCATGTAATCTTGTCTTCAGTGTGAACAAATATATAGCATGTTCATTATTTTTTAAACAGACCAAACATATTTCTAAAATACAAAAGTGAACCAGGCATGGAACCGTTAGTAGAAATTAAGTGGTATCTTGATGAAATTAAAGAAAAAGGTGTAGGGGCAGATAAGGCCATATTGTATGTAAGGTAACTATCACTTTAAATTGGTTATGAAGAAGATTGTTGAAATAAGATTTACCTTAACACCATTCATAAATGAACATATTCACTGCATATGTTTGTTTAGAAAACAAAGTACAGTTGCTCACAAGATAAAAAAAAGTCTACATACAAAGTTTAAACATAAATATATACATAAAAAATCTAATATAGATGTAAAAATATCAGTACAATATTGTAGCAGAAAGAATCAATATTGTAGAAAGGCAATATCAGTGGTACAACATTGTAGCAGAAAGCATCATATATAAAATACATATTTTTTTTTATCAAAATCAATCAATTTCTTTCTAAGTTAAAATAATTCACTAGCTATGGTTACTTGAAGATTAGAAAAATTGATTTTAAATCTATATACTAGTATACAAGAGCAAGTCACAATAACAGCATAAATAAATTTTGTTAATCTGGTAAAAAGTTTCCATAACCAGTAACTGGTCAAGTATTTGTCTCCACTATCCTCTCAAGTAACAATAATGATTTGCAGAGTAACCTGTACATGAAATACATAAGTATCCATGGTAGCAAAAATATTGTATCAATATATATAAAAGAAGATGTTGTATGGTTCTCAATGAGACAACTCTACACAAGAGACAAAAATGACAAAGAAATGAACAACTATAGGTCACCGTACGGCATTCAACAATGAGCAAAACCCATACCACAAAATCAGCTATAACAGGCCCCGAAATGACGATGTAAAAGAATTCAAACGAAAAAACTAACGGCCTTATTTATTACAGGCTCCTGACTGTTTTAATCACCATTATTTCCTAACAATCATCCTTAAAAATATGACAGGAGTGTAACTGCAGTAGGAACATTGTTCAGAGACATAATGGGGAACCTACGTGATGATGGATATAAAGACAGGACAAAGAGATCACAAAACCGTCTTGTTGGGGAATTTCATGGTGCCCTAGAAGATCGTGACCAAAAAAAAATTCTATCCTCTTTTCTTAAGCCTGAGTCCCCAGTCAGACTACTCATTTGCACCGTTGCATTTGGGTTAGGTGTTAACATACCAGACATTCGGTATGTCATTCCTTGGGGGGCATGTGACTCACTGTTACAGTATTGGCAGGAGGTTGGTCGTGCCGGAAGGGACGGGCAACCATCTGCCACATGTTATTATGCTGTTAGGACTTCCCTCATACATGTGGAGGATGACATGCAAACGATATGTGGAAACATTAAAAATGGGAGTGCCAGATGCTTTAGACATGGTATTTTCAGCCACATGATTGGAAATTATTAAAAAGTTAGCCACAAATGCAGCGGATCATGTGATAAATGTAATTGTAGTTTCTGTAAATGCTGCAATATTTGTCAGTTACAGTGTGAATGTGTCAAAAACAAATAAAATCAATGTTTCTAATCTTCAAGAATGTATGCTTCATCCTCTAAAACTTTTGAGTACTTTTTGAGTCGACAAGAGAGTTTCTCTGGCTTATTCACAGCCACTGCATTGTTGAAACCACTAAAACCAGGATGGTGTCTTCGGATATTCCTGTCAAACAAATTTTCTGGCAAGTATATTCTAACAAATTTTTTAACCAGATCTTTATGTGAATGCCTCGAAGAGTTTGTCTTTCTACAATATTGATGCATTATTTTTGACTCAAAAATGTTTTCTATTCCCTTTCCCAGGCTACCCACAAGTCTGCTGCACCTTTGCACCTGCCGATCTGAGTATTGGCCGTGAGCATTTCTCAGGTTTGCTGAAAAATTTATGAGAATTAAATAAAAGGAAAAATATTTTATAGACATTTATGTACATAGCTTGTTTCTTGTGTTATAGGGGTTTTTAATTCTTTGTTATCTGTTATTGAAAAGATTTTTTTTACTGTTACCTGTTGTTGTCAAAATCAATTCACTGTTCTGCTGTTTTATTCAGATGGTTAGATAATTGCTAAAGGTTTTTAATAAAAATTGGTAGCCACATTTTGAAAGAGTTAAGTCCCCCTTGTATTTATATGATATTATTACGTGAGTATTTCTGTATTGGCCTTGTTATTGGTCCGAGGCTTGCTGTATTGGCCGGAGGCGAAGCCGACGGCCAAAACAGCTGGCCGAGGACCAATAACAAGGCCAATACAGAAATACACGTAATAGTATCTTTATTAATTAACTACAGTGTTACAATATTTTTTTTTATTTCATTTCACAAGAGATAAACATTTTTACCTTGAAGTGGAACTATCCAAATCTCAGTTTCTTTTTATAAGATGCAATATCTAATGATCTGGTGCCGTTTCCAGGTGTCTTCAGCATTTTCTCATCTGATGAATTTTTCTACCCTTTCCAGTCACTATAAAGTGTTACAATTTAAATTTAGACACAACACATAAATAGTAATTGGAAAGGTACTGCCATTGCATGTGTTATGTAGAAACAAATTGAATATATTTAAATAAAAATAATGTAGGAGTTGAAAATGATACAACTATCCATAAGCCAACTGACCAAAGAACGAAGATTTGCACAATTACAGGTCACCCTTCCAGAATGCATATGCCTGGTTCGGGTTTAAAAATAAATGACAGTTTACAAAACATGAGAAACGAAAGTAAACAGTAAATCGATTTGTACCATCGTGAAATTATGAGGTCGACAAGAAATGAACTTTGTGATAATCTACTCGTTCCCCAAACCTGAAATAATTCCATCGTCTGCTTTCAAAATGCTTTTTAAATGAATGTGACCATCTTTAGCCTGAAATATATTGCCATACTGAACGTTTCAGCATGTTTATGGTGAGTAAATGAAAACTGCGTCTTCCAACAACTGTTTACTTTCAGTTTGTGTTTATCGTGACTTTCGATCTAAAAACTAGAGACGTTCCGAAATCCTGTATTGGCCGGATCAGAACTCGGCCAATACAGAAAAAAAATCTATATTGGCCGAGTTATTCTGTATTGGCCGAGTTGACACCTTTATATTGCATAGGCAGTTTTCATCATATTAAGTCCAATAACAGTGTAGTTAATTAATAATTGCTTATACAGCCCTACCCCAGTTTCAATAAAACCCATTTGGCAGTTCTCAAGTTATCACTGCAATATATACTTACATTTGAATTCATTATTTTGAAACTCATTCACAAGGTCTAAGGCCAAATTATTGCCTGGTCCACCAGAGAGATTGGCTGTACTATTCTATGTTAACTCTTCATGAAGGCGTTGTGGCAGCCATCCAGCAACAGCTGTTAAAAAAAGTCAAATATTTAAAAATTAAATGTGGTTTTTACAACTTAAGAAGTTTTGAAATAGTTCATAAATTATCTTCTGTGATTAATGGGACCTTTAGACCCATATTATTTCTTTCTTAAATATTCTTGTCAAATGCACATTATCTCCATTTGCCTTAATCAATATGAGGTAAGCAAACATTATTTGTATACATATACAGTAATTTTATCACAGTGCTGGTCTGTAACATTTCATAAATACATGATTTTAGAGTTGTTGTTGTATTCAATATTTTTTGGTTGAGTTTAAAATCATTTAAGACCAAATAACTTGATAGAACAAGATGATAAAAACTTTCATTGTCTAAAATTGGAATCAGATGTTTAGGCAACCAGCTACCGTTACACAATAAAATTGAGAATGGAAATGGGGAATGTGTCAAAGAGACAACAACCCAACCATAGAACAAACAACAGCAGATGGTCACCAATACAAGAATGAATCAAATCATTGCAATAAATTAATTTGCATTCCTTTCCAGGTTTATCTCTGAGGTGTAAAATAAATGTATTTTTAATCTTTAAATTGACAGTGCATGGTGTACTAATTGTTTCTTTGAATAAACTTTTTTTTCATTTGGCGGAAATTGTTATACCTGCTAGTAATCGATGACCACTATCAGGTACTTATTGTGCCCATTCTCCCAGAAACTGACCATGTCAGTTTTCCAATCGGACAACATTGCCAACCCATCATTTTCCCTTTCAGCATCTTTGTCAGCCATCATTTTTAAGCCATGCCACAACATACTGCATGTATACATAAAGACATGGTCATCATCATATATATCAACATTAACATGGCGAGTATCTGTGAAGAAGAGAAATAGATTGTTGATAACAGTAATCATTAAGTGACAAAATCATACACATTACAAAATAATTTCTTTTTTACCATACCCAACTCGTCTTCATTTAACTTCAAATATATAGAAAAATGTTCATATAAATGCAAAATAATATATGTGAAATTTTTGCATATTAAATGATTTTCAAGTAAATGGAAAGATTGCTTTATTTGAAACTCATAAAATCCTTCATTATGAAAAAAGTTGATTATTGCTTACCATTTGTGGTACTCAACTTACTATTGATGTTATATGATAATCAGTTAAATCAATATTTGAATTATTGTATGACAACAAAACTGAATATGTAATTACTGAATCTCTTACTATTTTCTATGTCTTCATCATCACTAAATATATCCTCATAATTAAGGGTGTCATCTAGTTCATCAATTTCATCTGTAGCCTTTTCATTATCGTTGTACGGTATTGTTTTATCCAAATATTCTATTACTGTATTGAAGGACTCCTTGATTATTACTGGCCATATCATATTAACGATTTGCTCTGATGTGTGTTTTAATAAATCGGTTATGTCACCGTCATGATCGGGGATCTCCTCCAATGATGTTATATTCAACAATTTGCAACACAAAACACAGACGAGGCCTTCAGTGACAAATGTCCAAAAATCCTGTGTGTCGTTGATGCAATCTGATGTTTCCTTTTTCACAGTTTTGAATTTGAAGCGATTGCGAATTTGAAATAATGACCCACGTGATCCAGCACTCTTTCCATCGAAGAACTTATTCATACAGTCCTGAAAACGAGAGATAACATTAGTGTAAATATTATTTCAGGACAATTCAGCCATGGTTGTTTTGGAAGAATATTAAATGTAGCTTTTGTATACCGTAGTTGAATATATTACCCTTCACTTTAAATTGATAGAGTAATACTGAATAATGATGTTATTGAAGCTACATATTTCACATCCAATCTTTTATGGTAATATTCTTTACAAAGCACAAAAATGCCAGTATTCACCTCAAAAGCTAACAAAACCTTTAAACAGACTTATTAAGAAAGGATATAGTTACGATACTGTTGTCAGGTCATTAAAGATTGCATATTTTGGCTTTAATATTGATTCACTTATAGGGTCTTTGCATCGGAATTAAACATATTTATTCTAAAACCAGTTGTTGGCATGACACGGGTCATATATTTTATGACGGTATAATACTAAACCCCTAACAGGAGGGATTGTGCCTGATATTCATATGATGAAGACATAATCTTTCAATCAGTTTAATTGAGGTCTGGAGCTGGCATGTAAGTAACTGCTAGTAGTCTGTTGTTATTTTTGTATTATTGTCATTTTGTTTATTTTCTTTTGTTTCCTATTCTGACATCGGACTCGGACTTCTCTTACTGTTTTACTGTGCGTACTGTTGTACGTTTGTTTTTTCTACATTGGCTAGAGGTATAGGGGGAGGGTTAAGATCTCAAAAAACATGTTTAACCCCGCCGCATTTTTGCGCCTGTCCCAAGTCAGGAGCCTCTGGCCTTCGTTAGTCTTGTATCATTTTTTAATTTTAGTTTCTTGTGTATAATTTGGAGTTTAGTATGACGTCCATTATCACTGAACTAGTATACATATTTGTTTAGGGGCCAGCTGAAGGACGCCTCCGGGTGCGGGAGTTTCTCGCTGCATTGAAGACCCATTGGTGGCCTTCGGCTGTTGTCTGCTCTATGGTCGGGTTGTTGTCTCTTTGACACATTCCCCATTTCTATTCTCAATTTTACATGTACAAACACAAAAATAATTAGGAAAATATAAAATATTGTTAAGATTTCATGTCCATTTTGTCAATATGCAAGTTGCCACTTGGCATGAAATATGTGTATATTAGGCCAAAAAATATAATTTCTTGGTTCTCAGGCCCACCCTCATCTCTTCCGAGGGTGCCTCATTGCCCCTTTTTATTGACAATTCCATAAATTTAAATAAATAAACACTTCCCTCCTCCAATTAGGAACATTTTTACAATGTAAAAAAGGCCTTTATCACTTTTTTGATAGAAGAAAAAGGTAAAAACAGAACACATCATCATTTTTTTTTTAAATTAGCTTGAGAACCAAGGAATGAAATTTTGTATGGCTTTACCTGTAATAAGATACATCGCTTGTGGAAGCCCTGTGGTCTTGGAACCAATCCAACTAATTGATCCTCTGCTTCCTCACTTACAGCCATTGCCAATCGTCCTGTCACCATTCTTTCCACGATCAATTGGTCACCATTGCAAACAACTGTGATCGGCATTGCATTGCGGTCCAGGGGAATGTACTGTTTCAAAAATTTCATAATCTCTATAACACCCCAACAACTAGCTGGGTTTTCTTTCAAGACAACAAGGTTGACCTAGAGAAAGAAAATCCAAGGGTTACAAAATATCAGATATATGTGCAATAAGTTTAATTTGTGAAATGCCAACTCTGTCCCATATTATTAAAAATAAATCTATTTTCCATTACAATGAATGATATGCGGTACTTGTATTACTATTTGAAAGGATTTAAAATTAAAAAAAAATCATTAGTTTTGAAATGTTTTTTATTTGTCAAAGGAATTATATAGGTTAAAACTCCTGAAACTACTAGATGGATTTAGCACATATTTTTGTATGGAGTATCACATGTAGATACATTATATAGTTTATCATACCCCACAGTCATTAATTATTAATTTTCACAAATTTTATGGCAGCTATGGGATTATAACTTTCCTAAAGTGTGTGACATTTGGTTATATGCAAAAGAAATTTGATTTGATAGATTTGGGGAATCAATTTGCATGCCACCAAGACTGCCACTAAATTTTATCATTTCAAAATTAAGAAAGGAATTAAATGCACGTACAATTTCTGATTTTTTACTGGATTCTTTGGAATATCTGTGTGGGATATGCATGCAGACATCAGTTCCCTCAAATGCAGCACAGTGTTTCTTTAGAATCCTCTGAGTAAGAATCTCCATCTTATTGTGCAACCTCTCCCAGTCAGCGTCCATAGGCAGGAACTTCTATGATAAAATGAGGAAAAAATTTAACTAAATGAAATATTTCAAATAAGATTTGGTTCTATATAGTTAAAACAAAGACATGTTAAGTTTTTCGATTGGTTGGAAAATCTTGCTCTCACTACATTATAATGTTAGATTTCCAAGATAATTGTGTTAAGGGCATACGATACAGTTTTGATCCCATATTAAAAATGTTCTGACAATTTGCATATAGGCTATTTTTTTGCCTGATTAAATCAAATATGTAATAAAAAATATACCTTCGTGTGCTACTTTTTGAGTAAAATCAGGTCAAAATTTTATATATTTGCTCAAAATAACAATTTACGTTAGCAACGTCATTACCTCCCCTGTAACTATATTGTATGCCTTTAACTACTGGATGTGACATCATTTGAGCGACTCAGCAGGTGTTTCCGGAAAAGCAGAGGAAGGTTGGTTTTAGTGGAGTCTGGGTCCCTTATTTATAGTTTTAGGTTTTGACTTTGAGTGTTACCATTTTGTTATTTCATGCTGTTTTCATTGAATGTGTTAGGTTGTACATGTCACTGAATTTTTTTTATTTTGTCTAGCCTTATAATTTCCATTGCTTTGTTTCCACTTTTAAAGAAAGTAAGTGCTGCAAATTTTAATCTTATTTGATCGATAACAAAATGTATGACCAGGGTATAAAATAAAACAAATGAGACCTCCTAAAACAGACGAGGGAGAAAATTTGACCATTTAAATAAATTACATGTAATGGAATATCCTGAGCAGGAACAGTTTCGTCAAAGTCATCTAGGTTAAGAAATCCAATCCGATTTCTGGTGGCAATGGACAAGGCCCACAACATCATTTTATTGTCTGTTCCATCATCTTTGTGTCTAGCAATGCTAAGCTTTTGAACGTTGTCCCAGCACAGGGAAAATCCAGGCTCTGAAATTATCAATTGGTCATTTATTTAGTTATAGGCAACAACTGTTGGATTTTTTTGCCAAAAAAACATATACATAGATTCTGAATTTTGAGAAAAAATAATTTGTCTCAAAAGGAGACAATAATAATCTGATGATTTTTTTTTTAATCGGATATGGTAATGTTAAATATTAATATAATAATTTATTGTGTCATGTCAAAAAAAAGTTGTCCTATTAGAAAAATATTCCTTACTATATGCACAGATAGCCACAGAAAATCAAAATATGCTGTCTTTATATTGTGTGTGTATGTTTGAGGGTGTATGTGCAAGTGTACCAGTTATACTAGAATTTTAAAAGTTGTAACAAATATTGACAACACGCCATTCTTTCATTAGTTAGACATAATTTATACAGACACTCTTTTTATAAAAATTGAAAATTTATATTAATGTATTGTTTACATCTTGTGACCATCATCTTTCAATCAAAATGTTTGAAGATTTTTAAAAACTATAACAATACCTTGGTTATGATCAGCAGGATCATGTTGGTCATCAATTACAGATGATTCCAGTAGTGGAACTATCCCATCTAGATCGTCATGCACATGTGATCCATCAGATATATCTGAATCTAAGTCATCATTGCCATTCGAATCTACATCTATGGTGTCATTAGTCGATGATTCCATATAACCAATAGTGACATCAGACGAAATCGATGACCTCTCAGAAGACCCACCAGAACTGCCCTCAAATTACCGGCATCTATCTGTTTAATAATATAAAAAATATATTGAAAAAAAAAATAAAAGGTCTGGTCCTTGATATGTTGGAGTTTTTATAAATAAATGTTTGAGTTTTTGGTCACATATACATCCGCTTCATATCATTCCATTTGCTATTATTTTTACTTTTTTCAATTTCATTCAAATTTTGTATGAGATAACTTTAAAAGTCAAAGTATATACATGTACGTTGAGTATACTTTTCAAAAGTTTGATCTAATAAATCTTACTTAGTCTCATACATCGGATTTCAAGAGAATGTGATTAAATCGCTAAAATCAATATAGATGAGAGTACTAGTATGCAAATTTAATTGGACCATAACCATGTATTAATTATGAAATTGTGTCAATAAAGAATTTGTATTTTTGTGAAGAAATGAGTGGTGTTGATACAAAAATCTGAAGGAATTATAAATATTTTCTGATAAAAGGGAGTGTAGTCCATCAAATCTATATACGGGTATATATGTTACTTGATGCTTTTATGTAATATCACTACCTGAACATTATGCTTCCAATTCTTTATTTTGCTGTCATAATTAGCACATAGATCATCAATAACCATCTGGGTAGTTGTAACACTTCTACACAGTCCCAGCCTGTTGAACCATCGGAAAATCTGTAAAAATATATGTTTATAAAAATTAAATAATGACAAGATTGATCATATTCTGTATATGCATATTTCAAGGCATAACCATTTGTTGGCAGCATTCAACTTGAAACAATAGGAAGACAGGAAAACCAAATTATTATAAGAGAAGCAAAGAGTTTACCTCTATACTGTTTGATAAATAGCAAACTTGTACAAGTATATTTTCTTACCATAGCCTATGATGGTCATATCAAAATGCAGGTATTGAGAACAGAGGCAAAGGTCACAGCTCTGTCACGAAAAGAAACCTAAAGGTTAAACGAACAACATAATCTTTCACAAGACTAGTCAGTCTCAAATTTTGAAAAAAAATTACAGAGAATCTAGATTTTTTAAAATGATATAATAGTTTTACCTTATGATTACATCCTGATCGATACATTTCAACTGAAACAATGTTTTGCATGAAGTTGACCCTGGTTGGAAAGCGAACATGCAGTATGTTTGCCAGTAATGTCCCATAAGCAGGGAGTAGAGGTCCAACATGATTTTTCTCATCACTGTCAAAATATAAAATGATTTGAAATTAAAGTACAGATATAAAAAACTTGATGCCATTGTAATAATTAACTTATCTCCGGATTATACTTGTATGTTACATGTATATTATGTATATGTCTCACATATTCATTTGTGGTGTTTATACCATTTCTAGTTTCAGTTTTGATAGCACCAAAAAAACGTTTTACAGCTATTGTAAAAATAATAAAATATAATATTTTTTTTTCATTCAATGAACATCATCAGTTCAGACTCTCTCTGAGTTTTTTTTCCAACATTTTGATAAATTTCAAAGCAATTGAGACTTCATTTATATGGCTTCCTGTTTCATGCATTTTTTTTTGTTTTTGTTTTTTTTGTGACATATTGCATACTCTTCTATTGAAAAAGACTATAGTTGTTTTGATCTGCCTTTTCACAAGTGTTTACAATACACCAGTAAAAATAAGTTGTAAAAAGAAATCACCTTGTGTCTGACTGGTCATAATCAAAAGCTAGACCGTGGAAGGGGAAACAAACAATCTTTTATATGCGGCCTGGTTTTGAGGGTTTTGTCTTATTTATTATTTTCTCTATCAAATGTCTATGCTACATGTATTCAAATAATTTTATATTATATATAAGAATACCTCTTTAAAAAGGATCAGGTGGTTAATGTTTGGGTATCATAGAATTTATCAACTAAATAGCAGATGGCCTTAAACACATTTTTTTCAACAAAAAGTAAATTATAATTAAAGAATCATACATTGCAACTTTTATCTCTTTGCGAGGTGTTGGTGTCAAGGCGGCCTTAATGGCAGATGTAAGGGTTGGTATGCATTTGTCACTAGCATCTTTAAACGGCTTCCAAGAAAACTCATCCAGAGTATCTTCATTTAAAGGCTTTGAGAGATTTATGACACCAAGATCCAACCGCTTTATCTCCTGTCGAACTCCATATTTGATCAATTTCGCAAATCCCTGTCTCGCTGACTTGCTCTTCTCATAAAGGCATTTAAAGGCACTAAAGTAGTGAGAACTTCGAAGGGCCTGAACAGCCTTGTCCATAAAACCCTTAAAACTACGAATACTTGTTTTTTTTTTTGGAGAGACAATAACCTTTTTTGGTGAATAAATGTTACATCTCTTCTTGGAGACAGGAGGCAACAAAGATTTATCTACAGTACTTTGAGGCGAAAAAAATTCAAAAGTCTGTTTATTTGGCGTCGATTGAAACAGAGGCCGTTTTCTTTTTCTTATGTAAGAAGTGTCTGCTTTAAGTTTGTTGAACTCATCTGATGCGTCTTTAGTAGTGGACTGTGAGTTAAAAAAATTCACAACTGAACTGGCACATGTATTACAGACATATAAAGCTGGCAATTTGTTGTGACTGTCAATGGATGTTCTTTTGTATCCCTTATTCCTTTTTTCGAATTTATTGTTGCAATTTATACATGTGTCACTATCGTCCATTGTTATTATCTCCCTTTAAATCCTAAAAGGGACCTGGTAACCGTCGATTATGACCCATAACTGATCGAAATTGTAAACTGCTTACAAATTAACTTTTAACAACAAACTTACCAAATTTCACTTGTTCCAGATGATGATACCAATCAATGCGCCTATCTGTCAACTATAAATCGATTCAAAACACTATGTTTCTACGAAAATGTCGAACTTTTATGTCAAACTAAAAGTTTCTAACCGTAAACAAATAAACCGGAAGTATGTTTTGCAGAGTTACGTCCCCCTGAAATCAAAGGAAGACGAAGACGAATCACGTGGTACAAGCTTCGAGATCTCGTTTGATTCACGAAAGGCCGACGAAAAGGCGGAGCTTAGCTGAAAAGAAATATTTTGATGAATGTGGGCGTTAAATGAGGTTTCCGAAGGTAAATAACTATGTAAAATTAAAGAAAAATGTGTCAGCTTTCGGTTGATATACATTATCCGATGCCCTCAAAAATTTTAAAGAAGGAAAACGAACGAAACGTTGCGCACCTATTTGAGAGCGCTATTTCGAGGGTTTTTCACTGGAAGTAAATCGTAGCTCTATGGCAAAAAAAAATTCAAAAGACAATAGAGCTACGTTTTCGCAGCTACATTTGACCCCTATGTTCTATTTTAAGAAACTGCCGCCATGTTTTTGAATGAATCAAATCCCCGAATACAATCTATAAACTAGATAACCTAAGAAACATTCAATTAAAGTTTTTAAGTATTTGGCAAAGCAGTTTCAGAGTAGAAGATTTTTGAAAAAGTAATTGGACTTTCACAAAAAATGTAAAAAAAAAAAAAGTTTTAAGGGCAAGAACTCCTCAATAACTCCTCAAGGGGTCAATAGACTATTTTGATCATGTTGACTTATCTTACTTAGCTGAACATTTATTGCCATTTATACTTTCTCTCTATCTATTATAATATTAAAGAAAACAACCAAAAACAGTAAAATTTAATATTTCTAACAGTAACCCAACAATGGGTTGTCGAACTCGTCTGAAAATTTTATAACAGATAGATCATGCCCCATTTATCACTTTAACTCTCTTTCGCTTTTGCTCTAACTGCTGTAGTTTTTGAGATATTAGCCAAAAACTGCTTTTATCCCCTATGTTCAATTTTTAGCCATGGCGGCCATGTATATTGATGGATCAAAACTTCGGATATATTTTCGAAAACTAGATACCATAAGGAACATTCAGTTAAAGTTTAGAAGCATTTGGCCCAGTAGTTTCAGAGAAGAAGATTTGCACGAAATAATGTAAAAAATAAACGTTTCAAGGGCAGTAACTCCTTAAGGAGTCAATTGACAATTTTGACCATTTAACTTATTTGTAGATCTTACATAGCTGAACATTTTTGTCTTTTACATTTTCTCTCTATCTATTATGTTATTAATGAAAATAGCCAAAAACAGTAAAATTTCATAAAATAAACTATTTCGGAGAGTAACCCTACAATGGGTGGTCCAATTGGTCTGAAAATTTCATAGCAGATAGATTTAAGATCTTGACTTATTCATCACTTTAACTCAATGTCACTTTTGCTCTAACTGCTATAGTTTTTGAGATAGAAGCCAAAAACTGCATTAGACCCCTATGTTCTATTTTTAGCCATGGCGGCCATGTTTGTTAATGGATCAAAACTTCGGATACAATTTATAAACCAGTTACCCTAAGGAACATTCACTTAAAGTTTAGAAGTATTAGGCTCAGTAGTTTAACTGTAGAACATTTTTAAATGTTAGCAAACATGATGAACAAATTGTGTAAAATTGTCTTTTGAGGGCAATAACTCCTTAAGGGGTCAATTGACAATTTTGGTCATATTTTTTGTAGATCTTACTTTGCTGAACATTTTTGCTGTTTACTGTTTATCTTTATCTTCAATAATATTCAAGATAATAACCAAAAACGGCAAAATTTCCTTAAAATTACAAATTTTGTGGCAGGAACCCTGCAATGGGTTGTTCGATTCGTCTGAAAATTTCAGGGTTGATAGATCTTCACATATTGAACTATTTTAATTCGTGTCAGATTTGCTCTAAATGCTTTAGTTTTTGAGATATTAGCCAAAAACTGCATTTGACCCCTATGTTCTATTTTTAGCCATGGCGGCCATGTTTGTTGATGGATCAAAACTTCGGATACAATTTATAAACTAGATACACTAAGGAACATCAGTTAAAGTTTGAAGGTATTTGGCCCAGTAGTTTCAGAGGAGAAGATTTTTGAAATAGTTCATGACAACGACGACTGACGACGACGACGATGACAGACGACGATGACGACGACGACAGACGACGGATGACGACGGACGCCAAGTGATGACATAAGCTCACATGGGGCCTTTCGGGCCCCGGTGAGCTAAAAAAGTAATGCGAAAGAACATAACTCATCCAAACGATACAATGCCCGAAAACAATAAAGAAAATCACTAAAGAGACAACAGATCTGAGAGTACTCGCAGTACTGAAAGCTATTTCGAAGCCAGTAACAACTAACAAAAAGCACATATCTAAGATCTAACTTATTTGATTATAAATTGTATCATTCAATACTCAATACAACGATTTGTGAGTTTGAATGTCTCTATGGTATTTTTTGAATCTCTTTTACAATGTAATTCATTTGATGACAGGTATTATGCTTAGTAGAAAAATTGAAAATTATACTTTAAAAATGTTGTTCGCCTAAAGTGCTTTTACGAGTTTACCTTCATCAGGAAGGCCCAAAGCCAATAATTCTAAAGCCAAGGAAGTAAAAGTACTGAACACCATAGAGCAAGCGGATAAGTATGCACAGATAACGATCTTCTGCATTGTATAGAGACAAAACTATACAAATAAACTTAGTGACTATACTAACAATTATGTAGGCATTTTTTCTGGTTTTATTGGTAGCTGTCAGGAGGAATAATTTCTGCATTTCTGTATCAAATATAAAACAAAGATTCGGTACCTATTTTAGTCATCTCTTTAACATATCCACGGTAGCGTCAAGCAATTCATTATTACAAATATTGTGTGTGACCAATAATTACAAACACGTGTTGCTTGGAAGATGCTGTTGGTATCATTTGCTCCTATTGGCCATAAGTATTAGTTACCATATGTGTTATTGAAATAAAACTTCAATGCTTAGAAACTCTAGTAGATGATGTAATACAAAACAGAGACAACTATCATGGTAATACTTGAGTTTTCATTTGATTTAAGCTATATTATATATATGTATAAACTTTGTATATTGAATTGGGAAAAATACTGTTGTGAATTTACAGTACTGAAATATGATTATTTTTTATACAAATTATACAGACATTTTGAAGGCATCCTAAGTGTTTACTTGTACATGAAAATATAGCACAAATTATGTTTCTTTAAATTAATACATTGTACCATGTGCTGTAAATTAGAAATTACATCATAATAAAGCATCCATAACCTTCAAAATAAAAATAACAAACGCTTACAAACACTCGTGATATTGCCCATGTGTAAAGGATTTCGTCCTTTTCAAAGATTTACTAACTTTATGTTAATCAATTTTCTAAAATGTATTACGTGGGGTAAAGAAAAGGCAGTGAAAAAATATGATCACATTTGCCACATATCTCTAGTATAGTTCATATTTTGTACATTGATTAGGATAATTCATACTGATCACTTAATGATAGAGACGAAACTTAATCGCATTTAGTCATATGAAACGAGTTTCATGTAAGTCTTTAATGCATGTTTTTGCACTTATTACGAGCCAATGACATATAATCGACATCAAATATTGCATTCCCTGATTGAACTTTAGCTGCTCATTAAATTTCGTGCCAATGTTTACCGGATAGTGACCTTGATTAATGATAAACACATCATCATGGAGTACGTGAGAAATAAATGAGTTAATAGATCGATGTTATTTTTTAATATTGTCCATGCGTTCCCATTTGTTAATTTAACTTTGCCATAACAATGGTTAAATGATTTGGTGTATTTCAGAATCAATTAACACTATTTACAAGCTTAACTCTTGAAAATACAGGATGAGAACTTTTTGGCAGTTAAAATGTTATAATTGTACTATAAACATTTAAGTCAATGGTGTGTGTCTACCTGTACTATATATGTGCCCTTGTATACAGCGATTTAGTATGTTTTTGCTTATATATTACTCCCTTTGTTTATGTATCATCATCTTGTAAACATTTTGTTACAGGTATTTTATATGTATCTTATATGTAAATGTAGAAGGCCACGGGAAGAATTATTAACTGTTTTGTTAACTGAGTAACCTTCTGTATATAGGGATTTTACTATTATTCCAGTGTACGATTGTGTTTATTTAATTACGGATTTTCCCGCGCTTTTATGTAGTACGATTGTCGAAGGTCACTGCATATGGAAAAGCTTTTGGCGATGAAGAGTATGCGAAGGCAATGATTCAAAAGACGTATATTTCAGAAGATTTTGATAAGATAAAGGATTTTCTTTTACAAGAATTTCCATGCACACTTGTTTTAAAGTAAAACTTAGTCAGGAACCTGTTGTTCAGTGGTTGTCGTTTGTTGATGTGGTTCATATTGAGTGTTTCTCGTTTTTTATATAGATTGGACCGTTGGTTTTCCTGTTTGAATGGTTTTACACTAGTTATTTTTTTGGGCCCTTTATAGCTTGATGTTCGATGTGAGCCAAGGCTCCGTGTTGAAGGCCGAACTTTGACTTATAATGGTTTACTTTTACAAATTGTGACTTGGATGGATAGTGTCTCAGTGGCACTCATACCACATCTTCATATATCTATTAGCTATTCAAGTATATAAATCATACTCAATTTTTTTTTTAAATTTGAAGTTTTATATGACGTTATATGGCTGTAGTTAATATTTAACATGTATTTATATAAACATAGCCATATATTTTAACAAAATTGATACATTTACAACTTAAACTATTTGTAAAGGTTATAAATGTTGAAAGTGAAAAATCGATACTAGGTATGTACTTAATACTTTAAGAATATTTGTTTCTGTCTTTAGTTATGTTTAAATCAATAACTATGATTCTGTTTGCTGTATGTATATATTTATTTTGTTTGCATACATTTTTAAGTGTAATGCAGAAGTTTAAAAAGAATTTTGATCATGAATTTTCTTTCTTTTTTTTTCTAGCATTTCCTTTCAGTTTAAATATGGCGTACTGTACTTCTTAGTTCATGATTCATACAATTTCACATCAACCAGGTTCTGACAGTGGTACTATATGATATGTTTACCTATTATGTTTGTTTTGTTCACATATTGTTGTCAATATAGTGGAATTTTATGCGACTGTCATACAAGTGAGAGGTTTAGCTAGCTATAAAACCAGGTTTAATCCACCATTTTTACAT